AATTAATGTAATTAACAATTAATTAGCCAAAATGCAGTCACCTGTTGGCACGGGATCGCCTGCTCATATTGGATAATATAAATATGCGAAATATTTGCATTCAGACAAACTTTTGCACAATTTACAAACGGAAATTTTACACACAGTTAATCTTACACAGCATATTGAATGAAATTAGCCACTTTATTTTTATGAAAAACTAAGCTATGTAAATATAGCAGCAGTGACACTTATTCGTTAGCATTTCAATAGTAACATAAGCACGCAGTCTTCGAATATGAGCAATAGCAAGGAGGTTAAAATAGAAGGAGGGAGGGTTCGTAGTTTCCTCCACTATCGGGGAATGAACTCCACCGAACAAACGGCGTCCATGCAAAGAATTTGTAAGAATTTGTAATCTCCCTTACAAATTCTTTGGTCCATGTTTGTAACTTCAAAACATGTATAAAAAAAGGCAGTGAAACGTACATGTTTCTAAGCTGTTCCGTGCATGTAATTTCCAGTAAAAATATGTTAAATTTATAATGAAATCCTTTGCTATGGTTAAATTTTTGTTTTAAAGTAATTCTATTCTAACCTCCTTGAGCAATAGCGAGCGCTTGTGACAGGGATAAATAGGAAGGGCTAGCTCATTTCTTTGTTCGACTCCTCGCCGACGCGAGCCTAATGGGGGGACGTAACAGGCAATAATCTGACGTCACTGTGATGCCACCTGTTCCTGATTTCCCGCGTTTAAAACAGTAGTTTCATTGAGCTGCGAGACGATTTTCTAGAGGTTACATATCCCAAATTAATTTTAATAATATATATATCTGTTTTCTAATAATGTATATATTTAAAATAATTTATATATATGTAATTTTAGTCAGTTTTTATTTTAAATTCTATATTGTAAAGTATCGTTTACGTAATATGGCTTTTTGCGCTGTAGTAACGTGCCGTAGCACTTACAGAAGTATGAAAGGATGAGATATTTTATTTCATGGGACCAAAGGATCCAAATGAGATTTTGCTTTTGACGAAAGAATGGATACACAAATGTCAAAGACAAGATTCTATTAATGTGAAGAGCGGAAAAATCTGCAGCGAACATTTTCTATGCAGTGTTTATGAAGATGATATGAAAAATCGCTTGTTTGGATAGCCACAAAAAGAAACTGTTGAAATGGAATGCTGTGCCGAAAGTAAATTATGATGACAATAATAAATCGAAATTGATGATGACAATAATAAATCAAATTTTAATGATTTTGAAATAAAACTCACAAATGAAAATGTAGATCATCCTGAATGTTTAAGGATAAACAAGAATGCATTGATAATTTGAAGAACAAAATAATATCCTTAGAAAATTGTATTAAAGTATTGAAAAATAGAGAAAAGAAAAATTTTAGAATGTTTGTTCAGCGACAAAGAAGGTGGACGACATCTAGACAGAAATTGGTATCAGAAATTAAAATCTCAAATAGCGAAATTTGGGGGGGGGGGGAGCACAAATCGGAGAATTTGGAAAAATGTCTAAAGCCTATTTTTATAAAGACGCAGATTAATGCATTACTGAAAAGAAGGAAAAAAATCAGGTGGACTAGTGAAATATTTTCACGTTGCATTGTCATAAGAGCTCTGTCATCTTAAAGCTATGATTTTTGGAAAGAAAAAAAAATAAAAAAAAATTGGAATATCTTTACCTAGTATTATCAAATTAAAGAAATGGTGTTTATTTTGTGTTTTCTAAATTTTAGTGTAGTCCAAGAATTCAAAGTAATGTTCTTACTCTAAAGAAGGAAAGAGGCGAATATTTGTATTCTGTAGAAAAAATATGCGTTCTCTCAGTTTCGACGAAATGCATATAGATTGAAAACTCTGCTATGACTCTAAACTGGACTAAGTTCTCGGTTCTTTTCAAAATGTGCAGTTTGTTTTAATCAGAGGTCTCATTTCGCGCGCTCTGCCTCAAATTACTGAGAAACCACGTTTTAGATAGAGGATTTGTTTTAGAAGATGTAACTGTTTTAAATTTTGATATTATTAAAGAGGTTTTAAATAGAGATTGAGAAGAAATCAAATTGTGTCACAAACTAAAACCAAATTATTTAATGGTCAAGGGAAACGAGAGACAAAAATGTCGCTCCAGAGAAAACATTATTTTCAAAAAGTACCGCAAAAGGTATACTCTACCCACAGGAAATCAAAAAAAAAAGCATCTGACTTCTATGAGTTAATCGATAATATCTTCGGTATTATGAATAGTACTAAAATAGTACCAACAAGAATAACAAGTATTTAACAAACTAATTTTGTTAAGTACTTGTTAAAGTTATTCTTATTGTATCCTTTGTAACTAATTATTGATTAGATTTTTGTGCTAGATTAGCATTCTAGATAAAATATAATAGTATAAAGTAATTGGCATAAAAAAGACCTGCTTCCTTTACTCACACTTTTGAAAAATTAAATAACTGTTTTAGGTACTCTGAATAAAGCTATTTTGTCAAAATTAAGGTAACAATCTTATACATATTTATTTAATTGTAATATAGATATAAGTATAAATTACAAAATTATTTTAAAAAATATCTATTATATTGAATCGGAAGAGAATTATAACAATGTAAAATTTACAATTAGGCAAAAAATCAAACGTAGGTTAGCAGTGTTGCCATATATGTCATATATGTTTAAAACGATGTCAATGTAAAATTGTTTTTTGAGTAAATTTAAATAGCTGCTATTATAGTTATCTTAGAAGCAGTATAAAAATTCTCTCAGTTAGCATGCAGATAAAGAAATGATTAGAAATAAACGTGCATTAAATAAAAAACCTGCAAATAAAAATTGAAAAAAACCCACGGAACTTTATGTTAAAAGAGTAGCACATTTTATCTATTATTTTAAAATTGAGTAAGTATTATTAAATTTTTTAATGGTTCAGTCTAAAATGCATAAAGCAGTAACATTGTCTCTTCCAAATTATAGCTATCTTTCACACACAGCTCATTTTAAACGCTGGTTCAAAACGCTAATTTTCAAGCTGTGAATTGCATCTGCGCGCCAGTGTCATGGCTACTTCTCACTTCTTTCTGCTTCAGGAGAACCTTGGGGAGCTGAATCATCATCCATTTTGAATTTTTTCGATTGGGGGATGTTTCCATAAACCGGCACTTGGCGAAATTGCGGATTTGTTTACATCGGAAGTGAGCGTACGTGCGCCAGAATATGGTAACCCTGATAATTGTTGCAACCCACACAGGGAATTTTCCTGAAGGAGGAAAAGGGAAATTTTCTGTTTACTTTTCGAACATTACGGTAAGAGAAAATAAAGTTTGAAAGTCGCAAATCATTATTAGTTTCATATTTTCGCAAAACGTTTATGGGGTTTATTTTTCGAACATTACGGTAAAAGAAAATAAAGTTTTTTATATTTTCGCAAACGAAAATTACGGATTATTACGGTAAAAGAAAATAAAGTTTTTTATATTTTCGCAAAACGTTTATGGGGTTTGGGGAGTTAAAAAAATGCAGCAAATTATTATTATTAACATAACAAAATGTTCCTTTTTTAGGTATTATATATGTTTATAATATTGCTATTGCCATGAAGACAAACTGGGCAAAGTTAAAATGATACCAACAACAACAGCATTTAATTTATTATAGCTTTTTTCTTACTTTTACTAGAATTCTAATGATAAAATGATTAGTGCATTTAAATACATATTAAATGAAAATATTAAAATAGATATGGAGATGCATTAAATATGATTTGGACTAATTTAATTATGTATTCTTACATATATAGCTATGCACATTTAATTTTTCTCAATAAAAATAATTAAGCTATCCTTATTATTTTTATATGTCTATACATTTTTTAACTCTGCACATAGCTACTCAGAAAGAAAGATATATGGGTAGGATATAAGAAGATAAAAATTATTAATCTTCCCTTCAAAGTCAAATGGATATAGCTGTAGTATATGATTTCAAAAAAAGTAAATCATTAGAATATTAAGCTGAAAATATAAGTCTGAAGGAAAGAGATTTTTCTTAAATTCAAACTGTGCACAAAACATTTCAGATGCATTCAAACTCTGAACTGGAACATGTTAATTTACTGTTGTGGAACTAATATGAAAACAATATTGTTGACAGTATAGTAGTGTATGTACCACCAAAGAATTTATGCTGGGAGAAGAAGCAAAGCTTCGATGACACCACAAAGCCAAATGATAACTGGCTTTAATTTTTACTCTTTTTATGCATAAAATGTCATAGTTGTTAGTATCTCATTAAAATGTATTTTCTAATAATATAATGATTTGCAAATGATGGAAATTTACTTGTCATTAAAACATTTTGTTCTAAACATGCTTCAGCTTATCAAAGAAGTTAAAGCTATTCCAACCTATCCCCCATATTAAAGTTTTTTTGATTAAATCAGGTTCATGTCTAATGCATCAAAAATATAAATAAACTTTCTTTAGTATTTGTCAAACATCAGTTCTCATGGCCTTAAATTGGATGCAAGATTTATTTCACAAAGTTATGTTTTCACTTATGGGGCAAAACTTTTAAATTTGTTATTTGAATCTGTTACATTAGTCTTTATTTTAAAGAATATATTGTATGTCATATGGCCATGAAGGCAACCTGGTTAAAGTAGAAATGAAATCAAACTTTCTAATTAATGTGATTTGAAGCCATTGTGTTATACTTCGAGGAATATGTTATATGGTAAATATGTGTGCTCATGTTTTTCCTGGAAAGGGCATAACATTTTTTTACAGAAATAAGTTACCAACCTAAATCTATTGTCATGGCAATTAAATTTTTTTTCTGAAAGAGCAGGATTATTTATAAGCCAAGTGCTAAACCTTTGTATTGTTACCCTGATCATGAAATTTTTAAATGGTGATTTAATTTCTTTTTTCAGGTTGAACTGCCCTTCAATGAAAGCTTTTGCTCGATGTGTGGCCTGTAATAGCAATAAATGGGACTTTTTTTGTGAACTGAAATCTGTTAGGCTTTCCAAAATCCAGAAAGGTAAAGTTTAACTTTTTATTTAAGCCTAATGTTCTTAAAATATATTAGAATATCCATAGGTGACATTTGATTATTGTTTAATAAAGACACCATAACAAAATAAGCTGATTGAATCACCAAATTTGTAACTTGTAACTTTTAAATATATCCAGACTGTCTGCTTTAATAAGGAAGTAACATACAGTGCATATATAGTAGTGTTTTGATTTTCATTTATCATTTTATTCTGTTTTAAGTATGAGTTCAGCAATGCTCCAACATAAGGTATTCCAATTTATATGAGCTTTAAGTCGTACAGCTCCTTATTTTATTTTGCATATTTATACTTGTTGTTTTGAAATTGTCAATAATTCATAAAATGCTGATGAACAAAACATTACTATGCCTATATATAAGAATTAGCTTTAATGAAATAAGAAGCATCAAAGTATATGCTAATTGCCATAAAACTCCATACCCTTCTTCAAAACAGTACTTCAGTTATAACTGTGTTAACAGACGATGCAGTTGTTCAACATTTTTATACACTGTGCTGTTACTTTCATACTTTGGTTCAGGAAAGTAAATGGGATTTGATATTCTATATTTCTTCTTTTTTTCCCCACATTATAATTATGAATCGAGTTATCAGAAAAGAATAATTAATTTTATGAAACCATTAGCATCAGAATAACTCCATTTCTTGCACATGTACTTTTTGTTTCCAATGGTGGATGCTTGCCTATGCCGGCATTGGCCACTCCTAAAATCAGATATGGTGATCTATTATGGAGGCACCTAATAGGCAGGCCACCTTTGCCTCCTATGAAGGGACAGATAATTTACATCCATGCCTTGTTCGTTATTCGAACCCGGGTCCCTCAGTATTGTACTCAGGCTTCCCTAATCACTATACCATCCGGGCAGCTACGACTTTATTTTAATATGCTATTTTGTATTGATATGTAATATGAAAAATACATTTTTATTATGTATTTTTTAAAACAAGTGCTTTTTAGTCATTGGTTCTATTTAACTAGAATTCACATGTATTGTTTTATATGCAAAATAAATACGACCCAGACTGATTGGAATCTGACTTCAGAGCTTTCGCTCGTCGCATCTGTCACATAGCTTCAGAGCTATAACTGTGTTATATTTAATTTTTAGTACTTAAATATTAATTTGTTAAAGTTAAAAAGTAATAAAGCTGAAGAATGTCAATGTGATATATTTCTTAACAATAATGTGCAGTAGTCCCTCTTTAAAAATGGTTTTGATTATCTGCAGACAATAAAAATTGAGAAAGTTATGAAAATTAGATTATTTTGTTGAATTCAAATTGGCCAAATGATAAAGATATACAGTCAAAAGTCGTTAATTCGGACACCCATAATCCGGAATGATCTATAATCCGGACCTCAAAGCTACAAACTTTCTGCGCATGCGTTGCGTTCACGCATGCGCACAGGCGTTTAAGAGTGCGCGTAAGACCTTTACGGCTGCGAATATGTTTGTGCACATGCGCGTTTAATGCGTAACGGAGGTATAAGCTAAGCTAAAATTATCTGATTCAGTTAATGTTGCACATTGCGTTGCTCCTTAATCTTTGAATTGGATCCTGCTTATTATTTTTTTGCAGACTTTTAGAACAATTTCATAAAAGTAAGCTTGAACTTTCGATTATGTCAAATAGAATTTCCGATATATATTTACTAATATGTAATTTATATCTACAAAGCGAAAGTATGTTCTGAAATTCGAAATCTGTTTATCAATTTCACGCCGCGGATTGGAAGTTGATCTGTCAGCACTATCCTTATCTTCAGGGCAGATGTTTTTATTTTATTTGGCTTATAATTCCTTACTAAGTATAGTATTTCATGTCTATGTACTCCGTCTTTGATATGATTTAAATCAAGTTCCTCGTCATTATAATTCGCTTTCGATAGTGAAGAAAGTGACCCAGAGGTTATTGAAAACGAAAACATTTCCATTGACAAATTAGTCGGTATTCTCAACACAGCAATTATAGGACTTGAACAGCGGAACTTTGTAACTAAACGAGAAATTATGTCTGTTTAATAGAATTAAAGAGAAAGTGTTTATCACATGAAACGAAGCAACTTACATTGAAATAAATGTTTAATAAAGTAAACAAATAAATATTAAGCTTTTTCTTTTTGTAAATTTTGATACCCTTTAGATCATAATTGTTCTTTATTTCATAAATTATGGTTTCATATTTTTAATTTTGTAATTTCTGCATGCCATCTTACCAGATTTAAACTGATGATCTATAATCCGGAAAAATCGATAATCCGGAATCGCCGAAGTCCCGACGAGTCCGGATTAACGACTTTTGACTGTACTTGCATATAAATCACTTCTGCATATGATTGAAGCTTTACAATATGTGCTTGTTAACTTCAGTTGTCTATAGTATTATTATTATGACAGTTTAACATTTGATATTTGCAGCACATTACCTCAGATTAGAACTATAGGATAAAATGTAGTTGAAAACTTTGGGAGGTTATAAATGAAATAAACGCAGAAGAAATTAACTCAAGCCATTACTATTGTGAATGAATAACAGAGCAGTTGGAAAATTTATTATAATTCAGAATTAATGTTTAGTACTGGCAAAGAGAAAGTGAATAGTTTTCACAATAGAAATATTAACTTAAATAAAAAGAACAAAACTATAAATTTTCCCTCATTAATTATTAATATTTTTATTATGTTTCATTATTAAACATGTTTATTACTTGTGTATCCTGCCAAATAGACTGGCTGCATGGAAGTTTTCATAATTTTCTCTATGTGTGACATGAATTTATGCATCCAAAATGCTAACCTTTGTATGCAACACTCACTCATTTCTAATGCTTTAAAGTCCCAATACTCGTTTAATTTAGCATTTGCAGTATCAGCGTTGTTACACTATGAGTATTACTAATATTTTAATTCAGTGCTGCTTTCTTAATTACTTTCACATTTATTTTATTCAATAAATAAATTAACTAAAATATAAAATTTATTGTGAATCGATTTTGTAATTATTTATGTTTATAATTTTTATCCCTTCCAGCTGATTAGGTGTGCAGAAGCAGCAGACTTGTAAATGTGAAGGAGCTATTTGCTTAGTTATGCAGTAGAATTCACCACCCTGCGGCAAGCTTCATTAAAGCTGTGAACAGCCAAGCTAACCATCTTCAGGGCAAGTGGCTGCATCAAGCAAACCCAGTGACATTCCAAAGAGGAATGTCAGTCAAAATAAAAACTTAATACCTAAATCTCGGAAAATCAGACAATTAAGCCACAAATCTTGTGACCAATTTTTCAGTTGCTGTGCTTAGTGCGATAAAGTTATATGGCAATAAACTGAAAAGCTATGGCAGGTATTCTATTGTACCCTTTAATGAAATCAATTTAAAGCAAGCTTATCATATGATAAGCAAAATGATTGTATCATTGGATGGTAATGATTGCATTGCTGGGTATGCAGGCTATGGTTCTACAATGAGCCAAATGTAATATCTCAGTATGCTGTGACTATTAAAATTATAAATTATGTATTATTACTTCATATTGGTCATTATGTTCCAAAATAAATGCTCTTTTTATATAGAACTATATAAATGTAGAAAATCTGAGAAGTTAATTTTATATGGAAAGCCTTCGTGCAAAATTAATAGCATCTTGTTAATTTCATATATGTTTTGTGAAAGTAATTGCTGCTGAATCTAGAATTAATGCATTATCTGAGATTTGAGACAAAATTTGTCAAATTAGAAGATAGTGAAATAGATAAATAGGAAATGAAACATGAAATTTATATATTTAATATTGAAATAAATATCTCAGTAAAGTGGCTGTATGTAAAGTATAATGATGCAATTTTTATAATTTTTTACTAAAATGCTAAAATTATGTGCTATGAAAATTTTATTTTCATTAATATTTATAATTTTTTCCTCGCAAATTTTTATCCAAGGTGTATATGTTTTAGCTATTTTAGATTTTTCTGTTTTAATGTTAAAAATATCTTCTTTATCAGCATTACATTAAAATCCATCTCATAATCATTTGAAAATGAAGGAAATTTCATTCTTTTCAATAGTTTAAGAATATTTTCATAAAACATAATTATAGAAAAAATGAACTGATACATTTTTAGTTATATATATGTAAAGAAAATTTTTTAGAAGGATCCTTTTTTCCATACCAGAAACATTTCATGAGCTGTAATATGTAATATTAGTTGGCCTAATATGTAAAAGGAATGTTTAATCAAATTATTTTTATTATGCTTTTATAAATATCACTATAATTTTAAGAGTTATTGAATTTAAAAGTGAAAGAAAAAGCTACAGTTATTTCAAGACTCTTTAATAAAACAATTCTTTATTCTTGTATTCTCGTATGAAAATTTTCTGTATATTTAACATAAAATTGTATGCATGTAAATAAATTTTTTAATTTATTATTATCATTCTGTTAGCTTCAATTTTTATTCTCAATAAATTTGATACATATATTTAATATTCAGCTAAGTTTTATTAACCATGACTGATAAGCATTTTAAATTTCATCCTGTCAAAAAATTTAAAATTCCCTTTTTTTCTTGTAATTTTTTTCATACACCCTCTCATTTTCTGTTTAATTGTAAATATTGCATACTTATAATTTTATAAAGCATAACTTCCCTTCCCTGAAAAAGCACACAGATTCATTCTTAATTTAAAATTCAATTACAAGTCCAATGTGAAAATGAATTAGCCAATGGAACAAAATAACACATATGTCTTTAATAGAGGACAACATATCAATAATTCCCTTAGTTTCATTTATCCCATTAGCTTCTTTACCTATTAAAAAAATTCTGATCCCCCCCCCCTCATGGGGGAATCAGAATTTCAGTGTAAAGTCATAAATACCACTAATGCACACATTTACATATACACATTTGCTTCCCCTTAATGTAGTATAAGTAATGTTACTCTTCATTGATAATGTTTATTTTTATTTTAACTTTGCCTGTATTATTCACTTTTAAAATAAGCACAAATTTCTATTCTGTTTTTTTTGGTTATCAGTATTTATTTCAAGATTCACACATCTGCAATTTCCAGCTTCATTTATTAAAATATATTATGCATTTTACTCATTATTTACATTATTTATACATTATTACTGGTATTAATCTTATTATCTTTTATGGATTGTAAACTGACTCTGGATGAAGGAAATTTCCATTATTAAATATTTTCTATTAGCTTAAATAAAACATAAATACACACACGCAGAATGTTTGAAATAGGTTTTATGCTTAGTATATTGACTGATCTAAGGATGGAAAAGTTGTACAAATAGAACATGTAATTTTGTAAAATCATTACATTTGTCAAAGTAAGAAATAGGGCAAATATGCAAAATTCTATCTGCAGTGCCAGACTTAATTATCGATGCTCAGGATGGAAATCTCACTTGGTCACCCTATATCGGAATGATCACCATACAAAATGTCAACACAAATATAAAATTAACATTTATTTAATTAAAATTAAATATTTGAATTGATTTGAAAAGCAAGTCTTAAGATTAAGGGGAAAAATTACATTTAGAAAACAAATTTATATTTAAAAATGCTTATTAATCAGCTATTTTTGATGATTTAAAAAATATTGTTAACTTTTCTAAAAATAAAAAAAGCTATAACTGTTTTTAGTGAATTTTGACTTACGAAAGTTTGTTTATAGTTTTGTCAAAAATTCATTAACATGTTTAGCTACTACCGTATGTTCAATGCAAAAAGACTGACAAGCCATTAAATCTTGGCACCTTGTTGATCGAAGATAGCTTTTAATCCACTTCAACTTCAAAAAGCTTCTCTAGCATGGAGCAACTGAAACATACACCGTCCCAAAGATATCTTTAGTGCCAATTATGAGTTAGGGATTGATTCTCCCAATACAGACCACATTTTAGCTTCATTTTTTTTTAATATATACTTAAAAACTTAAGGTTCTTCGGAGGCCTCTCCTCTTAATCAGTGGCCTGGCTGTTCTGCTCCCCCTGGTACTCTTCTGCCTAGCCAGAATATGAAAAAGGTGCAATACCCTAGCCAAATTTTCCATTGCGGTAATAAAGGAGAAAATTCCTTGCATTCTCCCCCACTCCCCCACTTCTAGGGCGACAAGGAAGGTAAGGATCAGTTGCTAAATCCTGATAGTGACATATTATAGGCTACCACATTTTACTTCAGGCGCCAATAGGCAGGGAAAATATACGTTGCCCTCGCCGAGTTTCGAACTCCTAACCTCATGATTTCTAGGCGGGCGGGCTTCCGATTATACCATTAAAGACCGCTTTAAAGAGGAAAAAATACCTATAACTCTTCCTATTAATAATGATTAGTTTTTCTCAGACTTCGTTTGGCTTATTAAATTACGGCAAAGCACTCGAGGGCTATCTGCATTAAGGGAGGGATGCCTTCGTGGAGGACTTTTTAAGGGAAACTGGCTCGTATACACGTCACACATGGGGAAAACCACGAAAACACCCATGCAGCCAGCCCGTTCGCGGGATTCGAACCTCGGACCGAACTACCAGTGTTCAGCGACGTTACCGCTCGGCCGCTGGTGGGCCCCTTGTTTTCCAGTTAATTAATTTAATGTGGCTTCATGTTTTATAGTTTTACTAGCTTTTACCCACGGCTTCGCTCGCGTTAATGTCCTTAAATAAGTTTCAACTTCGCGTGAATTTTAAAAATACACTCTGCGTAAAATTTCAGTAAATACTGCCCTTCTTCTATACCTATAGACCGCGGATATTTTGTATTTACGTGGAGTGTATCGCCATGAAATCTAGTAAAACTGCTACGTATATTTTCTTAATGACTGAAAAATTTTTGTGAAAGATGACCCGAAACCCGTAAATCCTGAAGGATTTCAAATAATAAAATTAAACAAGGAAAAATTTATAAATGTTACGCTTTCACGCCTTAATTACTTAACGGATCATCATGAAATTTTCAAGAAATATTTTTGATATATTAGCAGTGGCGTAGCTAGGGTGAGGCTATCTGTCTCTGGGCCCAGCATCCAAGGGGCGCCTTATTGATGCTACGAAATTTTTGAATGAAATGTTTTCCATTTTTGGCACATAGAATGGGGCGCAAATGCTTCAGTTGTCCCCAGGCGCTGGAAACTCTAGCTATGCCCCTGTATATTAGAAAAGGTTATAAATAAAATGTTTATTAAATATTTATTGTCTATAAAATGTTTGCGTGGCTTAAACCACGCAAACATTTTATAGACAAGCCAAGCACCTGTGCGCGCAGACAAACTTTTATATCGTTTAACATTTAATGTTTATACAACGGCAATCATTTTAACTATAAAACTTATTGTATAGTTTAAGTTTCAACTGATAAGTTACATTATATAGCCTATAACCTTTTCTCATCTTTCTTGAAAATTTCATGGTGATCGGTTAAGTAATTAAAAAGTGAAAGGGTAATAAACAAACGCACAAACAAACTCGCATTCGCATTTATAATATTAGTTAGGATTATATAATATTAAAAACAATTTTTTTTCGTTATGACATAATTACGAATAACCTTGCTTTGTTAAGTTCCCCCACTTTAAAGATAACCTCTCATATGCATCGCAAAATACAATTCATCTTTCTGTTATATATACAGGCTGACTCATCTTTAATAAAAATCAAACGAAATAAACCGTATTTATATGGAGCAACAAGGCCAGAAATGGAAAAACAGATAAATCTGTATTTAGTACCAGTGCTCCTGGTAGGCACTTGGAGAGCTTTCTGATTCCAACCACAGAGTATATACCGTTTTACGAATTCAGAGTTTGCAGACATTCACTTCGTGTATCAAACAGCTGACGGCAATGGAGGAGCCACTGTAAGAATGTATGGGAAAAGGTGCCCAACCACATGTGTATCATAATATTAATGTTTGCACATTTGCATCAGAACCTGTTTCAATGAACATGGTCTCTTCAGGGTAAGAATATAGAATGTCAAATGGCAAAGATCAATCGAAACACCTGGTATATAGGAGGATGGGTCGCATGTTATGGAAGCTGTGTATATGCTTATACCAAAATTAAAATGCACAAACATATATGCAATTGTGGCTCCAACAGGAGTATCTAGAATCAATGGATATTATGCAGCTCACCTTGCCTTTCTTTAATTTTATCTGCAATGTGCCCAGTTATTGCGATGACAATCTGCGATGTATGGTATTTTTTTTGCGGTGGTTCTTAGAGACACCTTCATAATAGCACCCAGATATAATGGTGAATACACCTTTATAAAGATCGATCGCTGTTCGAAAAAATAGAATTCTTTGTAAGGGTGCCTTGGCATAAAGGCATGTGAACCTTACAAAAAATCAGTCTGTAATTTTGAAAAATGCAACCTCTGTAAGGATACGGACAATTTAAGGCAGGTCTCTTTATGCGAATGGGGTTTTCATTTGCATTGCAGATTAATTAATTAATGATGCAGTGGATGGAATTAATTTTCGGCACTTTTGTGAAAAACAAGATCTTTCTACGGAAACGCTCGTCACACATTTCTCAAAGGGTACATTTATACAAAGTCCAGTGAAGTGAATTTGCATAAAGGTGCCGAAGATTTATTTGATCCTTCGCTTAATTAATTAGTCAGAAGAGGCGTAGCTAGGGTTTTCGGCGCCCGGGGACAACCGAAGATTTTGCGCCCCTTTCTCTGTGTCAAGAACGGAAAACATTTCATTCTTCTAAAATTTCGTAACATCAATTTCGCGCCCCCTGAATTCTGCGCCCGGGGATAGATGTCCTCCCTTGCCCCACCCTAGCTACTCCACTGCTAGTCAGTAATGAAAACAAAAATTGAACTTACATAAGTATGCACTTTTATGAAGAGTGCTTTTCTGAAGTTAGAAAATGATACTCATCAGGGACGCTCGTCTTCAAGGCAGGCGCATTTCTAACAATTTCTTTAGGTAACAAGGATTATCAAACAACAACGATTTGCACAGGTGTGCAAGTATCTTTATGATGCAGGGCCGTTCCTAGTGAAGGTGGAGAGCGTAAAAGTAAGCGGGCTTCGAAAATCAGGGGCGGCCGGACTTCCGCGATACCTAAATATTTCAAATTCATTGTAAATACTTGTCATATTATGTCAGTACTTGTTATACAATGTGTCATATGTAAGTACTTAGTGAGTATGAAATATAAATTTTATTAATCATTGAGCATTTTGTTTTAAATTTGGGGGCGGCAATCTCGAATGTACTCGGGCATCTAATGGCCTAGGAACGGCCCAGTTATGATGTACTCCTTATCAAACCATCTTGATTCAAGGCAAACTAGATATCTAGTTGGCTTGCTTGATTCTTTTAACAGAGCCCTTGTGATCTAGAATTTAGAAGCTGTATTTATAGATGATAAAGTCCAGTAAAGTGAATTTGCATAA